AGCTATATGACGGCGGTCTGTAAAAAATGGAGTCTGGACCAGACAATACAGTAATTGGTCCCATGGCCAACACTCCACACGGTCGAGGTACTTTGAGACGCTATCAACCAAGTCACCCAGTCTGACCATCTGATCCATTTAGTCAAGGTTCGAAAGATAAAATTGTCTTATGTTAAGAAGTAATTGCTGAGTGCTGGTCAGAGGGAGTGAGTGGACGAGTTGGTGTCACGCCGCTTTTAACAGTATTGCAGTGATATCACGGCATGTCAGCTTATTGTGGGAGGAAAGCCCGAAGTGATGCAGGTCTCAGACGTTTACCACTTCGGTGAAACCAACGAGCACGGGTATGGTGCTGACAAACCTATAAACATAATCGGGGTGAACCGGGATTCGAACATACAATCATAGGTTCCTGGCGTGCCCAAGGGACGCAACTTTGCACAGCGAATCGCGGCGACTGGGCAACCGGTGCCCCCTGGTCAGAGGGAATGTCAGGTATTGTAATACTACATTATGAGCAGCTATAGTAGAATGTTGTTTGCTTTTGAACCTTTTGAAACTTTTCTGTGTCTGTCAGATTTACATTTGTCCCCGCCTCGTATACTACTCCCTCAAGATAGGTCTCTTGCATGATGTTAAAAGTTATAAACAATACTGAATGTCCGGACTCTGTATCTATATCAGCGTTAGCGTTGAAGGTGAACGACGTTGATCTTGTTTTTGGTTGTATTTCAGCCTTTCCGGGAGGACACGGTCGTGTTTGAAATATATGAACTCGAACATATTTTCCTCATTGTATGCTCCATCTTCCCAAAGTTTGACATAATCCACTTTATCTAGCTCTCTTCCTTCCTCCCCGTACCAGTCAATATCAGGTGACATGTGTGCCAGAGGGCCTTTACTGCGAAGATAGTTCAGCTCTGTCTCAGTAAGGTTTTGTTGGCTTATGTCAAACGTGTTCGGTTTGCAAAACGTGATTGCAGGAAACCTGATCTGTTGTTTGCGCTCTCTTGTAATCTTAGTGATGAAGTTGTAGCTGTAGTACCTACTGTAAAGACCAGCCAAAGTTTTCAGACATATTCCCGTCATTGTGAAAAGCAACACAGTCCATGCTACTCTGAAACAGGAATATGAATTGGTTTACTGTTTTGTTTCGGACACGTGTTCCAACAAGATCTGGAGCGTTATCGATCCTCATACATGAACAAAAAGGTATTAAAATCCTATCCCCGCAAAGCATGGTTTAAAGTGGGCCAGGTGAAGCAACTGGTCAAGGGTTTTGCTAACTGGGTTCCACATGGGTCCATCAAATATTACTCATGAGATGTCTAAAGTTGTCATGCGGGTGTGTTTTTCGGATGGAAAATATCATGTATTATGAATTAAAAAAATTATAAGCGAGTCTTGTGTCCTAATACAGGATATAACTTCTTCATCATATAATGTTATTATTAAATTCACAAACGGGTTTCTAAACATTGCAAACATTCCTGGATTTTGCGCTTATCATATTGCGTCAAAAGGTCAGTGCTAAGTCAGTCTGACAGTGACAACAGACAATGTAGTTCCAACTACCATGTTTGAAAAGACAATTGCCAACACATAATGTCAATGATATAACCTTTAGCGGCAATCAATGTGCCCATCTAAGCTTGTTCCAGCAGTCACACGTCACGATGTCCAACCGGGCTAGCGCGGGAAACCAGTGAGTGGGGCATATTGCCAGTGATATCCCCTTTCGCGACAATCAATCAGACCACACACAGGAGTAAATGCCCTTTATCAAAGGGAAGCTACTCCAGTCTCTGAGGCATATAAGTGGTGACTCGTCCCTGTATCTAACCGCCAGAACCCAGTGAATGAGGCATCAAATTTACCTGGTCATAACATTGTTATTTGGTTACAATATATAGTCAGATGCCCCACATACCGACACAGTGATACAAAGCAAGGTATGAATGGACACCTCCGACCACATTGGACTCGACTTGGAACGGGATGTGCACAAACTTCTCTTTCAGTGACGGTTTCTAACTTTTTCAGTCGCCCACTAAATCACGAAAACTGCATTACATTCGAGAAGAGACCCCAAGTCACAGAGATCTACAAGAAAAGGTATGGGAACTGATACACAGTCCTAATGTAAACGCAGTTTATAGTTCCATTTTGTCTGTACACATGCAAAACGCCTCAGTAAGGCCCTGACTTTCGGTATCTTTGACTATCTTTTGTTGACAATGATGACAATTGGCTGAGATAAAAGCTACAGTATCGTATGTATATTTGTTGAGTATATTTTTTTAATTACTTATTTATTTATTTATTTATTTATTTAGTGTTCTTGTGTGTGTGCGTGCGTGTGTGTGCGTTGTAACATATTGACTATATTGTGAGCCACAAACCCTATTTATGTAGCATTGCTGGAGTAGAGATACACCACCATCTACACATTGTCTCCAGCTTTCTGTGGTTGGACTGCCTTATACCTTCCATACTGAATCATGACCCACATGGAAACATTACATCAACATGATTACGTAAGTAATCAAATCAGGATCGCTTCCTCGCGACAATATAGGGCACTGCACTTTATCCTTTATTTCATGGATTGGATGTTTGTGTTATTAGAGTGAACACGTACTGTGCATCTAATGCCCTCTACTCCGATCCGAGTATGATCTAGGCGACCGAATGAGATCCATTAGCACTCAATTAGCACTCTATGGGATCCCATTGCGACCCGATAGCCGAAGTTTGAGTCCGATCCTATAAAAACTCGTAGCCTTCTGAGGCAAGCAAAAAATGGCATAACGTATATCTAAACTCAAATAACCAAATCAAAAAAGTGCTCAGCAAACCACTAACCAAACCAAAAATTCTCCATCCATCCAAAAAAATCGACAGAGTAATCACTAAACTCCAAACAGGACACACCAACCTAAATAACCACCTAAAAAAAAATTAAAAACACACTACAGGTAACTGCCCAAACTGCAAACAACTAGAAACCCCAGAACACGCACTCATCCACTGCACACACTACCTAACACATCGAACCGCATTACAAACCATCCTCAATCTAAACAAGGCTCTCACTCTAGAAGCAATACTAAACCCACAAAATAAACTAGAAAACTTCAAGGCCTTAGGCGTATTCTTAATCAAAACGGAACTAATAAAACGCTTCTAAAAACACAATAACCTACCAAATCAAAAGCACATAAACAAACAAACATCCACCATACCCAGCTCCCTTAGTTCTCCTCCCCAATCCCATCGGCATCTATTCCAAATCTCAAAATTCCCAAATTCTATATAAGCAACCCCCAAACCCCCCCTCTTGGGTTGCACAGACCACTTTCGCCCCTTTCGGAAACACATTAAATGGCCTGGCCGGGCCCGTGTGCGAAATACACATCAGTCGGAAAGCGCACGTTAAATCTCCAAAGTAAGTAAGTAAGTTGAGGCGCCCATCAGTTATACGCTTGTTAGCAGAGGGGTAGGTCTTGTCTTTCGTGGCGATCGTCGGCGCTCTAAGGTGATACAATAGCGCTCTGATTAAGACCATGTCGATCAAGTAGGGCCCTGATTACGACCTTGGCGATCAAGTAGCTCTCCGATGGCCATCTCGGCGATCAAGTGGCGATAACAGCATTCTGGACAGAGCGCCACGGATCTTTGTGCAGGGAAGTCGACAGGTGGCTACTTTGACGATCATGGAGATCAGTTAGAGATCAGATAGCGATCCATTAACGCTTTTGGAGATCTTAGCCCTCTAAATGGCGCTCTATGGCAATTTGTAAGAGCGCCACAGAGCGCCACTTAGTGGAATGGGTGTATTAATGAAATTTTTTAGCAAATTCTTTTTTAAAGGAATGGATAAATATATATAGTTTATGAATAACAACTCATGGTTTATTGCATTAACGACGTTTTGATGTCGACTTTTACACTGTTCCAAAACTAGAATGAGTACAAGCAAGTGATGAGAGAAACATATGCATGATAAGTTGTGCAAAGCAACCTATTAACAACAACAACAACAACAACAACAACAACAGGTGACTGATAACAAATAGCACACAGTTGAATGAAGCCAGATTACAGAATGGATTACGGATTAAGATGTTAAGGTGTTACAAGCTTGACTGGATGAGTCTTTTGATTGATCAGATCTTCAAAGGATGTAATACCCTTGATCTCTGTTTATCAAAGGTTTGTGACGGCGGATTTCCATAGCTTCTGAGAGTTTTCTTTGTCGTTTCCTGATGTTGGGTTGGGAGTATTCGGACTTTTTTAACTTGTTGTACTCATTCCTGATTGAGAACAGTGTAAGAATCTTTATCGGAACATCGCTAATGCAATAAACCAGAAGTTGTTATCATAAAGTCATTAGTTTTCTTAACTAATGATAAGTTTCTGTATTTAGACATACTTCGCATAACTCATTAAATAAAGTTATAACCAGTGAGTATAAACATGTCTAATATTGTGAGAGGAATTTTTCTGGTTTCTTTCACAGATTGCAACTTTCTTCAACGTAGAGAAGCCTGTAGAAGAGCAGTACTTTTATATCAGTCAGGACATCGAGATCGAGACACTGAACATGTACACACTCAGGACCTGTGTCAGGAATTACCTTCAGGTTTATTTCAGACGGTGGCTCGGTCTATACTGGTTTGGCAAATGCTAGTTTAGCAAACTGGTTGATTCCTAAAAAAGTTATTTTGTTCAGTTTTGTGTTGGCACCTCGCTGTCATACCGCAGCAGGATTGTCGCAAATGTTCCCTTCCTGTCACGTTTTGCTGATTGATTTCCCAAGGGACCATCTTCTTCTGATAGGTTATCTACTATTTACTGTTCCAAACATAATATGTATCGTTGGATTCATATCGTTCTATTCGTGAGACGAATCGCAAGGATTTTACAGTGAAACACAAAGTAATCTAACTATATTTATTCGACACTGTCATATCATATTCTTATGTATTCAACAGTTACAGCAAAGCAAGAACTAACAACATGGCCGTTGTAGAAATCACAATCCCATCAGGCTTTGAACCGGACATGGAGTCACTGAATGAAATCCGCAACCTACAACGATCTGAATTGCTGGGCAAGAACTTTGTATTCTACTTCAGCCACGTGAGTAACCATTACATCTAAACTACTGTGTTATAATATGTGCTATGGTAGGTGCCACATATTTTAGGCTTGCTGAGATAAGATTTATTATTAACTTTACATGTACAATGTATTGCTGATGTTAAACAATGTGTTGCACGTCCAAGTTTCACGACTAACATTCAACCTTCAAGTTGATTCAGATTTTGTGTTAACGTTTTTACATACCTTATTATAGGATTCCTTCAGTCGACTGTTTGAAAGAATCGAATAAAACAATGTATTAAAATTCATGATAAGTGATATTTGTGTTTTAAGGAATTACGCTAGTTCAAGAATTTTGTGATATTTGACAGCTTGACAGCGGCGAAACATGCGTCAGATTCACCGGCAGAAGGAATGGTCAGGTTGCTAAGCTGCAGGCGTCTCCCATCCATGTATTTGACTACTATGAGCCAAGTATGTAAATCATAGTTCTGCCTAATATACTTTTGATTCTAATCGTTGATGGAACGATTAATTGAATGAATGTTGCTTATCACCGTCTTTGCGATTTTGTCAAACGTCCAAAAATTACTACTTGGATTAAAATATTTCCACTGATATGATGACTGATGATAATGATGGTGGTGGTACTCTCTCCTCTAGCACACCAGGCAGTGGCGTTCTACCAACCGAAGACCCTGCATGATGCAACTGTTTGTGACATTTGCGCCAACTGCTGTCAGAAGGTAGTACAGGTATGTAGCTGGTAGTATATCATATGGCAGGCAGGAAATAACACGTTTTATTCCTTGAGTTTCAAAGTTGTAATATAATAAATAAATAACACAGATATTTCTAACATATTTTTGGATGATAATTTTTCCAAATCAAATATCAAGTATTGCTTTCAACTGTGGTTAATGTGCTATGTCCACTTTAGATATGTTTAGAATAATTGTAGGATAAATAACAACAATAACAATTCTTTCTATATTTTTTCAGTCACACTAAGCCTCATCACATCATCTTGACTGACAAGCCACGAAAGCCTTGAAAGACTAACCTTATTTATAAGCAAAACACTGTGCAGTTGTTCACCAAAAACAATCGAATAAACTGTCAAACAATTATCAATTATTTCTTATCCATCTGAGTGGTGTGTAACGACTAACATGATCCTGAGATCCTGACAAGACTGAGGCGCATCTTGTGTCACCGGTGGGCAATGAAATATGTGTAAATATTGAGATAACTTATGAATCTGTTCTGAAGAACCAGACTGTGAAGCTGTATCTGAGATCATGTAAGATTTGTTTAAAGAACTGAAAGCTTCTCATAGCAGTGACAAACTCATATTGAGATATAAATGTCCACGTCAGAGAATAATCAGATTCCATTGCACGTGTGGGGCAATTATGAATAAATCACTGAAAGTCAGTGATGACACCTGTGTTTGAAAAAAGGTCAAGCATATCCTGCTTGCACCCACCACTCACTGTTACACTCAATCGCATAGAACAACATTGAATATATAGTAAATTGTCCTCGAAAATTCTTGAAACAAATAATTATACTTCACACTCTTGACAAAAACCGAAATTGCCTGCCACAAAATGGCATTGTTGCAAGGTGTTTTCTTTTCTTTCATCTGATATGATACGTGAGAGACAGGAGATTTTTGTCATTATTGAAAAATATATGTCAGTGCTGTGATCCGTACATTTCATTCACCCCTTTTTAAGGCAAGCACAGACTTTAAAAGGCAGGCCTGGTGTACATCCAGAGTATGTAGCAGAGTGGCAGTAGTTTCTGCCAAGACTCACCGTACCGCTGCCAACCTGTTGATCATATAATCACAGGTGACTCCTCTATTGTTGGCAATAACAACCTTTTTTCAAATCTGGCACAAAATACTGTGAACAGCTTGTTACCAATTGGGATCACAACTTTTAAATAATTATGGATGCTGTCAAAACATGCCCAAAATGTACGAAAAAAGAGAAGATGAACCTGTCGATTGTCGTTCGGAATTTGTTAAGACAGTGTGTGAAGTTGGTATAATACAAAAAACTGAAACAGAGGAACCAGAATTGGAATACGTAAACATAAACAGTTTGAAGCAGTTCCAACTGACAATGCTTTAAATATTATTACCATTATATGTAAGCATCACTACATTGATTGTTTGATTAAAGTACACGGTATAAGTGACAACAAATAATGCCACATATAGACAACTGAAAGCTGGCAAAACCAAGCATCAGTACCATCAACATTTTGCTTGACTTTCTCATAGATAACCTCATTGTGAAATTTGGGGATTGGACATTTAGGCAAGAAGTAAGCATCGCACAGGGGCATAAATTGTCCAACCCTGTTTACCTGTTCTGTTTCTTTGTGCATATGCAGAGGAAATCGAAAGTTTTGAGTAGTCCCGAAGGATGGTCGACAAAGTTCCATCATTTCGCAATGAGCGTTTCTCATTCCCTGGTTTTGGGCAATTAACTAATCTCCGTTATCCCTTTAAGTGTGCAATCAAAGCTCATGTGTTTCGACAGGGATTTACTTGAGTAGTTCACTTTTGTTTCATAATAGCCCCGCTGTAGAAGATAAAATAAAATTTGAGAATCTATTGAAGAAGTGCAAATGTCTTCTTCATGCCTGCGAGGCTCATAATGCGATGTCGAATGCACGACCCAATAACACCGTTCATCAAAGAAGTCGGGGTGATCTAGAACCCCCATCGTCTATACTACCACCGTAGGTTTACATCAGTTCGTTCTATGGGATTTCGAAATGAAGCGTGCACTATTCGCTGATTACGCCAACAGGGTCGCGGTTCCCGAGAATGGTCGATTGCCTTTATTAATCCGCGGATTGGACAATTCCTTGAATTACGCAACACAACTACATAAAGCTTCAGAGTGACAATGGACAATCCACAAGAGTGAGGGACAAGAAGAATTACTTGATGATAATTGTTGACATGCACGCACGCATACACACCTGTAATGGCCCCTGACATAATTCATGTCTTTCCTCCCCTGAAAGGGTGTACAATATTCAGTCACTAAACAATGAGGATATCACGTTTTCTGAATCAATAAGTGATTAATATCTATCCAATTAAAGTCCTCAACGCTCAACATTCTTAGCTGATATGTCATCGGTACTGGTATATCAGGAAATACTATATCTAATAATATTTATAGTTATCACGGAATACTGATCGACGTGAATGTGTATTCAAATTGACCAGTTTACCTTTACACAAGTCAAACAGCATTGGTACATAGACAGTTACAAATAACGTATGTTCAATGTCACGACTGCAATCTGGTAAAGCAGATACAAGGCTCCTGCCATAGAATATTTTGTATGTACTGAGGCCTGCGAATACAAAACACCAGGGTAACTAACATATCAAAACACTTGTTCTGTAACATTTTGATAAAATGTAGACCGACTTTCGATTCACATGATCCGACTTTTGCGTACATGATTATACAATAACAGTTCCTTATAGACATTACTTGTGTTATAAAAAAAAGAATGCTCCACAAACAAGAATGCTCCACAGGTTATCAATATCACCTTTAGTGTATGGCATTGTGTACTTCTTCTTAAAACCTGAGAGTGTCCGCCTGTAATCGTAGGCTGTGTAGTACTGAGGGCGGACAGATAAGATAGGATGTGGTATGTATAAGCCAAGCGCCAATACTGGACGCATGATCCAGGCACAGCGCCAAGCCGACTGCATAAGACATGACAACAACGAAGCAGATAACGGAAGGGTCAAGAAGAAAAAAACCGGACCAAGTCCTTCAACATCTAGGTACACATTTTTTTGGCTAATATTGTATGTTTGTATGGTTCAACATGGAGTCCAATGTATATACTCGAATCATATCGACAACCCCAAATCCCCCCCCCCCCCCCCCCCCCACACACACACACACACTCACACAAAGCATTTAACTGAGCAACTGAACCGATTGTATAGCTCATTATCACAAGCCCTAAACTCATTCTACACGTAAAATTTCGCGATGGTAATATGTGGCTTAGGGCACATATATGTGGTCAGTGTCCATTCTGCGTTCTCTGTTAACATCTAACCCCTAAACTAATGTATGTAATAATTGTACTTATTTTCTAATATGAAATCTATCGTTTGGTTTTGACTTGTTTACATGAACATAATGCTATGTATCAATCAGTGGTAAACAATGGTCGCAATGTGTTCAAAAGAAGTGTCTACTACCTGGAACTCAACCATCTGGAAACTACTGCTGCTTATGTGAATCAGCGTTAAAATGTAAGTACTGATAGCAGGATTCTTTAAAACACAATTTATTTCGGAAAAAGAAAAAGGACCATATTTAAGTTTTAGGATAGCAGCATAATATCTACGATTCTTTCAATTCTAACAATTATGACTACCAGTATCAGGGAGCCAAATGCTCGATGTTTATCATTTGAAAACCAATAATGAAATGCATATACTAGACCTAAAGCACTGTATACATGATACACACTAAAAAGTTGAATCTTTCTTATGTAACGCCGAAAGTATTTCATCCAATTATTCATTGATTCAAAAGCGTTATTGCAGGGCTACGTTAATATTACTGAATCTATGAGCCTCCGCTCAACATAATATTCATTTAAATACGTCCTACTAAATCTGAACTGTAAAAGTGAAGGGTAAAGAATAAATAAATTAATGCTTCATTCGTTATTTTGTAAGCAACTGCTTTTGCAGCAACTTTCTGATCGTTACCCTTAAGACTATCAACACCTCTACAACCCTGTGTCTGGGGGTCAACTCCCTGAACGCCAGTCAGGACCTGGCTGTAACAGCACGTGTTCAGGCATACGAGTTGAGCAACTCCCCTACTACCACTATCAACGTCGATCATGCCAACACTTCGCATATCATTAGTTGAGGTAGGCCACGGGCAATATGGCATTAAAGTAGCTGACAGAAAATATTAACCTGAACTGACGTTATAATTTTAGGTATACATGCGTGTGGTGGGACTTTTTTGTTTTACTACAAAAAGTGGTTTTAACACAATAGTGACAGAGACCAATTTTGTACAAGGATTTAGTTTCGAGCGCTACACTGTTAAGAACGGAGATTGTCTTTGAAATTATATTTTGAGATGTATGACACACCAAGTCGGAATGTACAACACATTGAATTGATTGATTGAAATGTAATAATTCTTATCGTCTACATAATATAACTTGAGGAGATGGAATTGGCGGTAAATCAAGGTGATAATGTTCCATGTGCATTGTCTTAATGGAAATTTTGCTCTTTGAAATCTTTGAAAGTGTAACTCAAGAAATGTGAAATAGCAGACAGCAAAGGCCGGAGCTGCTGGAATATTGCTCAACATAAAGAGAAGTTGGCTAATGGAAAGTTGAAGTCATCCCTCTTGTAATACAGTCTTGTAGATAGAGTTTTGTAACTCAAGATTTGTATGCATACATCTTAACATGAAAGAGATAAGGCTGTTTCACTGGGGCCCATTATTTCTGATTCAGTTGGGTAAATCATTGGAAGAGAATTTGATAGTTATTGAATGATATCAGATCATCGATATACCAGAATCTAAAGTTAAACGGACCAAATTCCCGTGTTTTGATTTAGCCAATTAGAGCGGCAATTCCTATTCATATGCATAGGAAACAGACCAACAGACTTATTTTAACACCTTTAAAAACAAAACAAAATTCGGAAAAAAATTTATTCAAAAGCAACCTTCTTGTGACACTTGACAATAAATGTTTTCCAAATTCGCAATAATACACTCACTGCATATAATCTACATATGCCCCACAAGATCGGGAAAACATCACAAATATACTACAGTTCACGCGGCTATCATGAAACACACAGATTTATACACAATATTCTTCAATCAAGCACAAGGGTCGTCATGCACCCGTGACATTTCTGTATCCCACAGATCCCCATGGACCTGAAGTCAGACAAGAACATCCTAAAGTTCCAGGTAGAGACGAGCTCTGGAGAGGAACACACCAACATGTACAACCTGCAGTACTACAGCAAGTACC